AACCACTCTCGAAATCTACCCGCCTCTCCGATTCATGATTCATGAATCCCTAGCCCACAAAGCTCATATTGCAGTATCCACCGGTCCACCGGTCTTTACCAGCTAGGCACTGTCATGCCAACAAAAACAAGCCGGAGGAGAGAGCCCAACATTGTGATGTATGGTAAACATCTAGTGATAGCAAGCAGCCCTGGCCTTGCCCTCCATGTAGGCTCTTTCCAGCCCTTTCCATGCGGCAGCTCGACACGCCCGCCAGGACACGCTTGCACAGGCGGGGAGGGGATCCTTCAAACGAGCACGGAACGTGCATGAGGAGTCTGTGCCACACAGCTCCTTTTTGTCGAAGTTAGAGGGCCAGTGGAGCAGCACCTAAGTCAAAAGCACGGAGCGAAACCACAAGAATGAAGCACAGGATTCAGAAACACCAGCTCTTGGCCGAGAAGTTGGCTAAATCCAGATGCGTGCCAAGCTCTTTCACGCTTCGGAGGACTGCTTCGTAGCTTTCGTCCAACCCTGGGGCGGGCGAGAAAGGAGTCCGTGCATGGACTATATCTATGTTGACATTGCACGTCGCCTTAGGCCAAGACCCATCTGAGTTGGCGGAATCTTGCTGACGATGAAAACCTCATTGACATGACTCGTTGAAGCCTACGGAGCTTCACAGTTTCTCTTTTCCTACAAATTCACGTGAGCGCCTCCTCGCGTGGTATCTTGCTGTTGGCAACGACGCGGCCGATGTCAACATGGTTTTCATACAGCACCGCTGTGTCAACCTCATCCATCGCAGGCTCGCGATCTTTCAGCCCGCCGCGCAGTGAACGCAGGCTTCAGCAGGAAGATCTCATGATCTCATGCTAGGAACAGGACCATCCGTCCACCAAGCTGGAAAAACGAGGTCAAGGACTGTCGCACCTTCATCTCGGCTAGAATACCTCAGCCTGCATTAGATGCACGTCCTGCCTTCTCGCCCTGGACGCCATTGGTGCCGAACCCACGCAATGGCATCCGAACACCTCGATACCTGAAGGTTTGCCGCAAAGGAGCTCAACAAACCCCACACGGGGTGGCACCCGCGAAGCTGAACAGCAGGTCCACCAGCATGCTCCTGCTGGCGAGCCGTGCTCTCTAAGGTCTATGGAGCATTACAGCTTTATGTGCGTCTTCTCCTACATGGGCAGCATCTGTCTTCTTCTTTGGGACACCGAACAAATTGTGCTACGCAGGCGGAATCGGATCTGGCATTGATGCTCCATCGACTTCAAAAAGCCATGGACAATGACAACACATGCATTCAACATGCCCTGGCTTGAGAACAAATTCAGTCTCAGAGTTCTTGTGCGGCTGTTCTGGGACCCGAACCTTCACCTGATCCGTCGCACGGGCGATGTCACGAAGCACGAAGCGAGCGCAAAGCTCGCCAACAAGTCTGGCAGGTGCATCCTGCCAGCAAAGCGTGTTTCGGGGCGGCCAGCCGATCAAATGGCAAAGCTGGCCAGTGTGGCGCTGTGTCCAGATGGTGACTCCGGATAAACGGAGGTGTCTGCTACCTTGGCAATCGCCCCGGTTCGCTTGTGCCGCAGGTGCAAGTATTGTGACGGCATACTTCAGCAAGGTGCCCGTAAGTTGGTCGTACCAAGAACCCGAAGCCTGTCAGGTGAAGAAGTTTCAGAAGTGGGAAGTGGCACTGGATCACTGTTCTAGGGCCATGGCTGCGAATCAACCACGCCGGGAGATCCATCTCGGTGTATTCGAGCCGTCCTGTGCCATCCGAAGCCTACTGATCGTTTGTCTCTGCTTCGATGCTGTTTTGGCCGCCCGACTTTTCAGACACTGCGGAGATCCAAGCATTGTCCCGAGTCTGTTGGCTCTTTTCGTTCGACCTTGACCATGTTGACAGGAGGTATCTCACATCGACCGTCTTCAAAGTTCACAAAGTTCGCTGGCTGTGGCATGTTCTTCTGTATCCTGGTTCCCGAGTGAAGCGGCGGCGGTCCGGGCTGATAAGGTACCACTGCTGAGAATGCGAGGATGCAGTGGCCCGCGTCATCTCCGTGCGCATACCATGCCTTGCAGGCATCTCCTAGCCCGTTACAGTGCTTTAACATGTCCAGCTTCCCGATAAATCCGTTAACGTCGATGCTTCGGAGTCTTCCGTTCGTCCTGCAATTCAAGAAATCTCTCCTGCTGATGTAGCAGCATGTGATCCGAGAACCAGAATCCTGTGCTTGAGTTCCGGATGTTGAAGCAATCCGTGTGGGGACAGCGACAGCCTGCAAAGACAGAGGCGTTTGCAATGTAAGTGCAGAGATCCATTCCGTGAGGCAGGACACGTGCTGGTCTTTTGCTTGGGAATCCCTCTCTCGTTCATACTATGGAAGAGCTTAGAGATCTTCTTGTCTCTGGCCCCTGATACTCCAAAAGACTTTTGGCTGATCGTACAAGCATGTCGCAAACATGCAGTCATGTCTCGGCTACATGTCTGAAGATTGGAGCCTGGAGCGCAGGTGATGATTGGCTCGCAGAGAGTTGAGGAGTTTCTCGCACTCGACCAAATCCTCTTCCACTGGAGCCACGGAGTTACCTCACTGTGGGCACATTTACGAATGACTGCAAATATTGAACTCGCGAGTGCACAAAAAAACGCCCGGCGTACAGCTTCCTGGCAGGAGCCTCCTAAGGAACATTTTGAAAGCGCTACAAGAACATACGTGAGGCTCATCAACACGATTTCATGAAATCAAAGAAGTTCAGGGTGGAAGTGCACCAGACTCGCAGCACAATGCACAATTTCCGGTCAACATGCGCGGGCTGGGGTCCCTTGATGATTTGAGGCCGCCCGAGCCTCGCTACCAGGAATGCCGACACTTTCAAGCCATCCTCCAGCTGATGATCAAACAAGAAGGGATGTAACGCCACCCATTATGCCTTCTTCGGTTTGGCTTTGTGCTGACCCTCCTGCTTTGGGGTTGTCGGGTTCATGGAAGGCGAGGCAGCATCATTCTGTCAAGCATATAGCATGTTTTCTAGGCATCAAGTCTCTGTCTCTGTCTCTGCCGGGCTCCACTCGTTTGGGAGGCTCGAGTTTAAGGTTTGTTGCGGGTTCGATTCCTTGTTGGTAGAGTAGAGCCCGCGTCATGCGAAGATAGCCATAAGGCTTTGGCATGGCTGAAAACCGTCGATCCTGAAAAAGTACTCCGCCACGAATCTAGAACAGGAGATGGGACTGAACAAGCGCAAACACTCAGGCATCGTGCTCATGAAACCGGCCCGATCTCTGGCAACCAATATAGAGCTGAGAAAAGGCCAAGGAAGAGAATGGAGTGGCTGCTAGGTTTTGACTAACTAAGGAACGCAACTCGGAAGTGCCACTTGCCGTTGCTTGTTGCCTTGAAAGAGCTTCTTGCTGACTGCCCGGAGAAGCTCCGGATCCAATCCGATCACAAAGGGATGACGAGGGATCAGAGTTGCCACGAAAACATATGGATCTCCCAGCAGGATGCGGTGACTGTTCCAATATAGAAAAGCTTCCCCAGTATGGGCACCGGAAATCTTGGAAGTGTGCTGCAGCAGCAGGGCCGAAGGTAGTTCAAACCAGCCGCTCTTCATCTCAACAATCGCCACGGCAAGCCCTTGCCATGCCTCTTCACCAGGTCGGCCTGCCAAAACCACTACGTCAACCTCGCCGCAAACGCGCCTCTTAGAATCGTGCCACGTGCACCCCTGGAGGAACTTGACTTCGCAGTCTGGGGCCTCCCCGACATTGGGAGCAGCAGGAAAGAGATCTGCCCTCGACTGTAGCAGTGTCACAGCGAGAGATGCTGCAAGCCTTGGAATCGAGAAAAGTCATACATACACGCATGTAGAAAACTATCTGATCGACGCCCGCCGGCCCCCATGTAAAGACAAGATCCCCGAATTGTTGATACTGTACGAGTAGTTTCTTTCGACTGCACGCACCTGGCATCGGTGGCTTCGAAGTCGCTGCCATGAATGCGGCGGTCGTCCCCCTGTGCTCGATCTAAAGCTTGGTACTGGGCCAGCAGCTCTTCACCACCACTCTCCTTCCACAAACTCCGAACCCGCTGCCACCTCAAATGCTCAGGATCAAGGCTGAGCTCGCTCCAGAGCCTTGCCGCTCGCTCTGCATGTTCAACTCCTCGATCCACCCCTGAGCGTACAATCTGCGAAAGCTGCTTCTGAAGCTCCTCTTCACTTGGCACAGGGAGACCTTGAGCTCGTGCCTTTCTACAGAGTCCTTCCCGAATTTTGTCCTCATGACATTCGAGCTTGCCGGGTTTCTTCGCTGCCTCGCATGCGGCCTGCCACTGGAAGTAGCGCCGACTCGGCTTTACGGATTCAATGGTCTCTACAACAGCCAGAGCAGGCACATCGTTGCTCAAGTCCAGAAGCTCGTACAACTCAGCCATGGGTGATGGTGGCACAGCCGCTGTCTGGAACTTCTGAGTCAAAGCTTTCAGGCTTTGGCTTCGCGGCGACTCGTGCAGTGTTCTTCGGATGTGGCGCAGGAACGCTTGAAACCCTTGCAGCTGTAGACAGACTGCATGGCTTTCCTCGACTTCGTCATCGTAAAGGTAACTGATTGGATACTGGGCCAGAGACGTCTCAATCCGCCTTCGCAGGTCATCCTGATGCTCAAGCAAGCTCCATCCCGTTTGACGATCCCTAGCAGTCAGGGTTCCATGAACAAGAGCCATTCCCTACCAAGACAGCTGATCCGGAGGCATACAAACGGCAGCACAGCATCTTCTGTTTTGCAATTCTGACCTCTCTGTACTCTGCACCTGCATGCTCAAGGCATCTACTCCGCTCTTTTGCTGTCCAGCCTACCCTTCATCCTAAGCCCCAAGCTCGGAGCATGAACGGTTGTTGGGACTGGCTCTAACTTTTTGGTTGCTGCCAGTTGTCGACTTGCGAGGGCAGAAGATGCAGGCGCCATCCCAAATTGAATGGCTCAGGATGGCTCGAGTTCAAACCACCCATCACAGAAACTCCGTTGTGGATAACGGAACATTCTCAGAGCAAGTCCGGGGACATGTGCTCTCCTTGGGGCACGGAGTCTTCAGCGGTTGGCGATGGCTACTTTTGTCATTGTCGGCAGAAGAACTCCCCGAGCGAGCAACATTCGCCAGCTGGAGGTTCTCCTTCTTGACACTGACGAGTCTCGCACTACTTCTCCTGGGAGAAGGGCGGAGCAAGAGTATCCATATGAAATCATCATGAAATCATGAACGAATCTCATCACCACTGACACCAGGCGTCGTCGGAGCTGAGGCATCGGGCCTCGAAACATTGAGAGTCAACAAGCATTACCGTCACCGTTTTATGCACTAGTAACATGCAACTGCACTGGACTGTGCGAGTGCTTCTGAAGCGTTCCGTAGACTTGGAATTGTAGTTTGCCCATGACCGCTTGCATGCAAACGACAAAGTCGTGAAACCCTCAGGCCTTATAGGAGGGGGGAAAAGCTGGACCTGAAAGTTCCCACCTCGATCGAGACGGCGGTTGCCCGCTACCAACTGCCACATTGCACTCGCGCCTGAATGTGTCGGAGCCTTCAGAACTTGACCAAGACGACCACTGGCGCCCTCACAGGGCTGCACTGTCGCCGCTTCAGCCTCTCTAAGACAAGCAAAGGCAAACCTGGAGTGCCACCACTCGAATCGTGTCTCCGGGAAGAATCACCCGAGAATCCTTTCAGGCGTGACATCTCGCCGACTCTCCACTGGAAGGACCCAACTCAGCCCTTCGGGTTTCTCCTCATCGTCAGAATCAAGCAAATCTTCGCTGTCACTGGCGTCGGCTGCCTGTCAGCTCATGGCCACGAAAAGTAAGGGTGAGGAGGGCGGGTGAACAATTTCTTGAAGCAGGATCTCGAGCGCAGCAACTGCAATGTTAAGCATGCTTCTGTGTCGAAATCATCATTTATCAGACTAGACTAGACGGGAAGTATGAGCCGACAAATGTCCACTCGATCCAAGGTGCAGTTTCGGAAGCTCAGAACGATCTATTCCTTCATTCCTTCACCCCCTGAGAGTGCCGAATCCGGTCCAATCGTGCACTGGCGGCTGATGCCGAAAACTTGGCAGGAGACAACTTCCTGTCGCTTCGTTTCCGCCCGCTGCCCACATCAAGTCGAGGCGATGCCACTCCCAAGAAAATGCCACTTCAACTGCAATAGGTCACGAGGAGCGCCCGCCAAAGCATATTCAAGGTCGACAGACACACGCGAAACCCTCAGTCGATGTGAGGCTCTTCGACAATCCGCCTACCGTCCGAGCTGGTACTCCCGCCCGGCCACCAATCACTCGACGAAGCATAGCTGCTTGGTGTACGGCGGCCATATCTTTGTCCCACTCTGGAGCTTACTGGCACGTTCGGGGTCCGCACGTCAAACACCTTATTGCGGTTGGCATGGCTCGTGTCCCGGAACCGGCATCGCCTCACCCCGCGTGTGCTCAGGTCGGGCATGTAGATGTCCGAGTTGAAGCTGAAATACCGGCCGATTCGCGTGGAGTCCCATTTATCTCGGCCATGGAGGACCTTGACTCGACCAGGTTCAGAGCTAACATGCACTTGGGGCACTCGATACCACGGTCCGTGAGCAGGAAGTCATCGACCAGGAACTCGTGATCGCTGGAGAAGTAGCCTGACTCTCGGCGGGCCATAGGAGCCGTAGGTTCCCGCCGCCCCGACTTTGAGCTGCAGTATCTCGTTGTGGAATGCTCCATTCACAGGACGGTGCGGGCGGAAGTGGCCGCTGCCGTAGTGGCGGCACGAGACCACCGCTGTGCTTTCGGGGCCGTCGTAGTTGACACTCTGACCCGGTGCTCGGCTGTAGAAGATGTTGCTGTTGTGATTCGTCTTCGACGTCCTCAAACTGCTTGTGCCTACAAGCCTTCTTCGACTCATGGCTGTGGGCCGAGCGCGTCTGGCTTTGTAGTTGGACAAGTGGTTAGTCAACATTCAGCATCTGCACTCTAGGCTTCGAAGCCCGCAGTCGCCATTATCGGGCACTCAAGCAAGCAACCAAGACGTTCGTCGGGAGTGCCTGCTGGAAAAGACACGCTCGAGACCTCTCATATGGGAGGCATGACATCCCACCTCGGTCTCTGACAGCCATGATAGTCGCACGCCGCTCGACGGACATGCATCGCCCAGCTGGGAAACGGACCGAAAAGAGTCGCCAGTGGGTCATCGGTGCATGACGAACCAATTTTCGAGGCGCTTTGCGACACACGCGCACAAGCTGCCTCGGAAATCGGCAAATGCAGCTAGCAGCACAAGAAAAAGTGTCGATGAGTTTGAACACAAAGCTGCCTGGATGTCATCACCTGAGCAACAGGGTCTTAGCAAGAAAGCGATTCTGCAATGCCAGCATGCTGATTTAAAACAAGCCACTTCGCAAGGAATTGAATCCGCTTGCTGCCTGACTGGCACCCTGGAAGAGAGCGCCCTTTCGGACACAGGAGCCTGGCCAAGTAACGAGGAAGCCTGGAATGCTGGAAAGCACGTTGATCAAAGCCATGCCTAGTGCAGGATATCCTGCAGCACTGGCAACGCAGCCAGCAGCCAGCAGTCCAGCCGACACAGCCATACCACAAGCCACTGTTGTTGGCGTCACCTGCTCACGCTCGTCTCTTCATGTGGGGCTACATCTGTAGCTGGCAATGGTCCCTCCTGACTGTCAGGAAGCACGTGTCTCTTGGTGTCGCTCTGCTCATCTACCTAAGCCAAGCAACTCTTCGCCAGAACTCGAAGTTTGTGCTTTCAACTACTGAATGCTCCGTCGTGCTGCAGTGGCAGCCTAAGTCCAAAGCGAGCTGATGCGCCAGCCCCAGGACCGGAGCGAAGTCTTGTGCCACCTGCACGGAAGGCTCTTGGCACAACGGCAACAAAAACAACACCCAGAGCATCCCAGAGCACCTGATTGACGCTCTTTTCGCAGACCCAGGTCCTCGGTTCTCTCCACTCCAAAGGGCCGGGACGTCCGCTCCGGTTTCGGCCCACTCACTAGGCCTCAGACTCGAAAGCAAAGATTCCCAAGGCCTCCAACAGAGCTCCATCAGATGAACCACGGAAGAACGGAATCGCTGCCTTTTCAAGGTCCATGGGTGGTGCCCGGTGGGTCCCATCCTGCGACACACGTCCACGACCTGCTTGCAGTTCCTGAGGAACCAACGTACAGCTTTGGAACTGCTGCATGCAGGTTATAGCCATCAAGAATTGCAAAGCGCGCCGAGGATCCATATCATATCGCCACCGTGAGCCTAGATCGCGGAGTTCTGTCCAGGCAGCAGCCACCTTGACAAAAACCGCAACAGCAACTCGAAGTCGAGTGCAGCATGGCACAGGGCACGGCATCGAGGCAGTGGGTGGTGGTTCGTGCATTTCACGGCCAAACTACTAAGGACAGCGAGTGGTTGAGCTACTGAGAGCTGCCCCCGCGTGCCTTGCAGAAGGGCTCAACGTCTGTAGAAAGCTCGCTGGATCTGTGCACCCGCAGCTTTAGCCGACACAGACATATCGGACCCTAATAGAATGCGCTCGTAGCTGTAAGCAGGAGCCTGAGCGTAGCGGGATGAACTTCCACTGCTTTGCGAAGGAAGCACTGCCGCAGGTCCATCTCGGATGCATCTGGATCAGCACCCAGCCTTGAGAGTACAGGCAGATCACTGATCACAGCATCTTGAAAAGACATCACATCAAAACCAGGAAACAGAGCATACTGCGTGTCCGCGGAATGGACCTGGGGCCAACGCTCTCTCAACAACTTTCGGTCTAGCCGACTCTAGCCATGTCAGGCTCTGAAGTATGCTCCCACCTCTCCGTAGGACGGGGTCACTTCCGGTGCTGAACTAGCAGCCCGCCCTGCAGCCGGACAGCCTACTTCCCACATCAACGAAAGCTGGGGCTTGATGCAATGAAACAGGTGTGCGAGGCTGAGATACCCTCTGCTGCCTGGTTCTGGCTTTGCAGCATGTTGCATGGCCGTCTCGGACCTGAGAGGGCTTCTGCAAGCCACTCCAAAGCCAAGGATGTCAGACTCTAGACTCTGACGACCGAGCCCATTGCTCTGGGTCTGGCACCATGACATACAGGCAAAAGTAAGGTTCGGTGCGAAGGTTACTGAGGCTCATCTGCATGGGATGCCGCTGTCGCCATCTGATCGTGGATATGAGCTGTTTGGCCGCTAGGCGTTACACTAGCCTGACTCGTACGGGCTTGCTTGATGGATAAGACGCTGAGAGCAGAAAAGCTTCAATGCACGCAGTGAAGGCACTTCCGCACCAAATCGGGGTATCATTCTTATCTTAAGGGCTTGTTCATGTCGGGACCGCACGCATCATCAACCATGTAGTTAGAGTCCCAGGGCCCTGTACCAGACCCCTACACAAGATTTGGTTGCCTTCGGCCCTAGGTAACATCCACACGTCTCAAGGTGAACAGAAGCCCTGCATACCCACGAGCAGGGAAGAGAGCCCAAAATCAACGAAACCAATGAGCGGGCAAACCCGGTCCCAGTGGGGTGGGAATAGTAGTAGATGTTGGCGCGAATCCATTGCCTGTCGCAGGTCAGAAGCATAACTTTACCCCGATCTCCCTCTAGCTCCACGCGAGCGTCAACGAGCCAGGTCGACGCCAACTTCTGGAAGTCTGCGACCACCTGCACTCTTTCGCTGGTAGCCGACAGCAGTGGACAGATCGGAATTTTGCCTCCACACCGGGACTGATGCCCAGCTCGAAAGGAGCCATCTGCTCTGAAGCGAAAACGCCCTCGCAGCTGACGAAGATGCTCTGCTAACTGGAGACTGCAGAAGTCAAGCCTGATACAGGAGGCGAATGGTGTTCGCGATTACCTGTCAAGTCTTTGAACTTCGGTTTACCATGGTTTGCCACGTTCTTCAGTCCTCACTCATTTTGCAGTTCCCTTCCCTTCGTCCCACTCGGGACATGCAGCGAAAGCGGACGCTCAGAACACCGACATTGCGGGCAGCTGCTTTTTGGCACCAATCTGCCCTGGAGATGCTTGCAAGCCCCCCCCCCCCTTCAAGCCGCGCAATGTTTGAGCAAACCGACAAGCTTGCTGGGGGACTATCTGGGACCATGAGGCAAACAGGTTTGTAGAGTAGGCGAGGCGAGTGGATACTGGTGACGCAGCGTGTCGGTTTCATCGGCCGCCACACGCAGCATCAGCAGCATCATTGGCCACGTGTTTCTCATCCCACTCTCAGACAGGTCCACTGAGGCCGACATCAGCAGCATCATGCGGCCCGGTTTTCCAAAGGTCCGAGATCACCCCTAGAAGCCCCTCCCCAAAGAGTCGGTGCTTTTACGGTATGATGTCTAACAAACTGCTGCATCGTCACTCCTCGGGCCTGAATGTCATCGCTGTTGCTCAGGGGCTTGTAGTCAAGATGGGGCGAGGCCATCGGGTGTCGAGACTGCACGACAAGCCTTCAGGAGACAGTGCCAAGAAGCTGTGCGACTCTGAGGTTTCAGGCGACATAGGCGACCTTCCACGAGTACGCGCTTGCAGCAAGATGATCGTGAAAGTCCTCGGCCGTGCAGGCTCTGGCTGCTTGCTGTATGGGGCGCCCACATGACACGTTGCCAGGCTGCTAAGCGACTTGGCTTAAGCTGAGCACAAGCTGAGATGGCCTTCAAGGCAGCCCTCCAGCAACATAACCTTGAGGACGAGTTGGCAAGCAGCTAAGCAACCCGGACAAACAGCAGCAACAACATGGCAAAGAACACGATCCTAACCTCAGCGTCCACTGGACCAGGCTCACCCGGTCGATTGTCCGTGGCCTGCATGTTCTGCAAACGAAGGGACTGGCTTCGGGTTTCGTCTTCTGTGCTTCCGACATTTAGGAAGGCGTAGAGTTGTCCTGAGCTTCTTGTGCAGAGCCAGTTATAGATAAGGAGCAACAGTCTGCCAGTCCTTGCGGCCGAGGTTCCAATGAACTGGTCCGTGTTTCCCAGATGCGTCGTTGTGTGTCCTGTGCTGAATCACGGCGGCAGTTCCAGTGCTCGCATCTGCGCAACACCAGTTCATAGATTCCCAAGGCCACTTCCATCTTCGCTGAGGTGATATCCTTCCGGACCTGAAAACTTTTCCACATCATATACAGCTCAATGTGTTTTCGCATTGTGGCTGAGGTCAGCACACGGGACGTTGGTATGTGCTACAATTGACAATCCGACGTGCTCATGGAAGTGGCGGCTGACAGAAGGCGAGCTGGCGATCACCTCCCAAAAACCTAGTGCATACCGGATTTGACGCATGGCCTCAACTATGCCAGAGAGGCGGGAACACCCAGTCGGGCGAGCTCCTGCCAGCGACGCTGGCGAAGTCGGTTGTTTATGGATTCCGCAATGCAGCTCCTGCCTTAGGTTCGGCCACACCGGACAACGTGAGCAACTTCGGAGTGGCGAGGACACCCGCTGCTATGATGACCTTCAGGTCGGGAGCCATGCTTTGTTTCGTCGCAGGCAGCATCAGAGAACCTCGTGTTTGGCCCGAATTCGGAGGCGACGCTGAACCACCTGACAACGAGCAAGAGGAGATGTGTTCTCATCGTTCAAAGGCAATCGCCTGAGGAGCATCGTCAGAAGTCACCGAGATCTCCACACCAACAGCCTGCACTGACGGTCGCGTGCCAGAGCATGGTTTGCATGGACGCTTCGAGTGAAGAAGCATGTTTCTCGCAACACAAACGTGAGATGACAATCCAGTCGACATTGCCGATTACGATCATTGGCGCTTGAGATGCTTGAATGGCCGGCCGTGTTAAGCAAGATGTATAATAAGATTAGACACTGCATCGCCTGGTTGCCGTCAAAGCTGATGCGCTCTGCAAAGGCATGAGTCAGCGTCTCCAGCCTGTCGGTCTGCCAAGCAGCTTGGAAGCCGATTTTGTGGAGTCATCTTTTTGAATGTGGACCGTTTACACCAACAGCCTTTTTAGCTCAGGACATCCAATCTGGTTTTGTTGGGAACGCGAGTCAAGTCTTCAAGCAATCTTGATGCCATACAACTGCTAAGCACAATGCTGGACCCAATGAGTGAAGTACAACTACAGGCCATTACAGGCCTGTGCGCAGGCGAGCCATGAAAGGGGGCTGCCAGATCCTTGTATGTGGTTGATCGAGGTCTTCCGCGTGCCTGATGACAAATCCATCAAGTCTGGGCATGCTCATGTTCTAGTGAACTGCGTCTGCAAGCGAGTGTCAGCCGTCACGCGGGAAATACGAGTTGGCTGACACCGCGGGTGCCCACAACCTGTGATGCCGCACTCAGAGTCGTGAAGAAGCTAATGATTTCTCAGAAGCCTTGCTGATGTAAAACGGTACCATCGATCTCTGCACTTGCATGCTCCCTTGTCTCCACGGCATACAACAAGCGACCATAAGGCATTGGTTCGTGCTCCCAGTGCACCGGCCCTCGCTTATTTCATGCTGAGCTGCCCATGGAGCGCCACATCCCACCGATGCCCTGGTTCGTTGCATTTCCATGGGGATCCACCCTTAGGGTCAAAAATCGCAGAGCGTCAGCGAGGCCATGGACCATGGTCAGATCTGCCGGCCTGAAGGGCACACGAATGCCTTCGAAGGCAGCAATCAAGTTTCGGAAGAGAGGAGGAAGCTCCTGCGCGTCAAGTTTGAACACTGAAGCTACCTGGGAGGATGTTCTAGCTATGCTTCTGTCCCTCTTCGTTCCTTTGTCTGAGTTTTTCATGAGCTCCAAGGACTGACGTGCCGGGTCCTCGGGGAAAGCAGACACCAAGGTCAGGTGACTGCCCGGCCTGGGCATGGTTAAACCCGACGGATGCATAGAGATGCGAACGGAAGGAGACATCAGTCAAGTGCGTAGCAGATTGGAGCCCAGGTCTTCGAGTCCACCTTGGCATCCGCCCCCTAGCATGCCTCGCATCTACCGAAGCCACGCCGGGCCTGTGGGCAGAGGTCGATGGTAGTGTGGGTCTGGCTTGAAGCCGGGAGCTTCCATAGGTGCCTGCCGTCTGCACCGGACCGCAAGAGCGACAAGGGCACCTCACCTTATCCAAGCAAAAGGGGGAGCCTCCAAGTTCTTGAAGGCGCTCAGGACTTCATCGACGGACCATCCAAAGGCCTGCAAAATCAAATAGCGCTTCAGAGTCTCGTAGCTCCTGCATCGCTCCGGCTTATCATGGCTTCCTGAGACTGAAAAGGCCTCGGGCCTCGTACTCGAAAATGGATCCTCGCCTCGTGCAGCGGAAGCTAGCTTTCCTCTGTCCCGAAGCACCGCTGGGCCCCCGTGCGTGTAGATCATTGAGTTGACACTGGCAGTTCCCCCAACACCTCGACCAGTCGCATATGTCCACGTCCTGCAGTAGGTTCTTGCTCATCCTTTCGTGCTTTCGTAGTTTGAGCTGACGGGTTGGACTGGCCTTCCCTCCCTTCCAACGCTCCAGTTCACCTCCAATGCCGGCCACCACGCTTCCTTCTTTTGCGCACTGCGATCGGGATCCGCTACCTCCTTGCAGCGAGCATTCACCATTGAGCAAGACCCGCTAATTGCGAAGACAAGTGCACCTCCGCAACACTCCAGGAACCGGCCTGGCAAAGTAGGCATTGCTCTGAACCGTGAGCACATCCAACTATTCAAAGGCACGCACTTTCTACCATCCACACTGTTTCACAATGTTTCACAGTCTTACCTCGAGGATGAGAACACGCCATGGCTGTCCATCGACGGTGTCTGCGGCAGCCAACCGAGATGCAACGGCACCTGGGCAATTCTGGAGCTTGAATAGCTCAGCTACAGTTGCGAATGAAATCAGGGTGTGCGACTACCAGCGGATCCAGCACCAACCACTATGAAGTCGTATTCGCCACCATCCTGCTGCGTGAAAACGAAAATCTGTACGGGGCGGCGGAGATGGTCAATTGTAATTATTACTCGCAGCTCGCCTCCTCATGTCTTCGGCAAGACGAAAACTTGTTCCACCGACACAATCTTAGATCTCAGCAAACCTCTCCTCCAGTTCAATTCCTGCCGTCGATGCCTCCCACTTGGTGTCATCGTCCGGCCTTGTGGACCGAAGCACAAGAAGCTTCCCACAGGCCGCGCTCAACAGAATTACACGCTGTTCCCTGAGCAGAGGATGAAGTTGAGAAAAGTCTGCCTTCGTGGCAGCTTGTCGATGCCACAGCAACGGAGGTAGGTAAATTCCTTCCGAGATCGACTCGTCGAAAACTTAGCCAGGGGTACAATCCCTGCTCAACACCTGTTTTCTTGATGCAGCTGGACCGTGAGAGAGTCCGGCCTCATTCCAGCATGCAGGATTTCCCGTCAGCCCCCAGCGGTCACCACAGCAAAAATCCTCGTTGAAATCCTGAGCTCTGACAGGGCATTGGGTCAACAAAGCAACTACGGAAAGAACATACAGGCTTGCTGACGCAGCCCAGCATCGTCTTGCCAGCACTCTGCATCAGGCCTCTGCACGGACCAACTCATGTAGATCCAGTGTTGCAGAACTGCTGCGAGATTGACCGAACTCGACTACATGCAGCTGCTCTGAACCCAGGCTCCGGCAAGCCACTTGTCACACCTGCCTGATGCCGAACACAGTGGCCATGTAAACTCACAAGACTCTAGACCCATTTCCTGCAAAGCACAGCTGACCAAACAGAGTGCCGCTGCAGGATCCAAGGGAACGGATTGAGACATCCTCAGCCCGGGACTGTCGACGCGCCCGCAATGGCCAAAAGTGCGCCTACCACCATATTCCATCATTGCTCTGCAAGATGCTCCTTGTGCTGGTGTTTGCAGCGCTGCTTCAACAGGCTCCAGTGCCATGTGCTTAGGTCTTACAGTCTTACAGTTGCCTGGTCTGTTTGATTCCTGAAGACGGGAGTTCTTGCGCTGGCACGGTGCATGAACGGTTTAGCTGTGGCCTGCGGAAAGATTACACACTTGTTCCACTGTCTTGAGGCATGAATTTCAGCTACGTGGCTCAGCGTCTATGTAAGACCAGCAGCAAGTCATAAAAGAGTCAGATCAACCCAGGACATCCATGCATGTTATGATAGCAACAGGGAAGCAGAATACGTGGAGGATCATTCCATCTTTTTGACTATGCATACACAAAGACTGACTCCCTCAGATCACCAAATCGAGCGTCGTAGGCATTGATGTAAGCTGAACGCACATCTTCGGGCGAGAAATCAAGCTTTCCTGTTACAATGCTTTCATCTTGTGCAGCACTGGTATTCGAAAACGAGCTTGCTGGATCATCGGTGTTCAAGCCGAAGTTCAGGCCATGCTGTCGGAAGCTGCGGATGGCATTTAATGCCCAAGCTCCATGCAGCAGCGCGCTTTTGGGACAAGCTTCGACATGCACCTTTCGCAACTTCAATGCCTGAAGAATCTGTTCGTCAAATGCTGCTGCATAACCATGACCGATGCGGTCGGCAGCCATTTCAAAGATAGCTGTGCGTACATCATCACCCATAGTCTTGTTGAACTCACCAGCATGCACGGTCGTTTTGAGTCCTAGGGCTTTCGCATGCTTGAAGCAATCGATGTAGGCCCGATTAGGGAAATCGGTCTCGTCGCCTGCGAGGTCTAATCCAACAACACCTCCCATCGCCTTGTCTGCGAGTTTAGCTGCAAGCTCTGCAGTTTGAAAGCATCGATGCGAGCTTGCCCCTCTCATCGCACAAAGAAGTTGATACACGACTACCCCATGTCTGACTGAGCCAGCAGCTAAGCCGTCCTGCACAGCTTTGACTGCCTGCTCCTCTGTTATGGAGGAGTTGTCAAGATCGCTCCTAGCAAGGCGCACAGGGTCATAGCGAACCTCAGTATAGAAAACACCAGACTCCGCTTGAAACTTCACGAAAGCTTCTGCAGCCGCCTGGATGGAAGAGACGCTGCCACCGATGATGTTGTTCACAGCATCAAATCGGTGCCAGCCACTGAAAGTCCCCATGAATGCCTGTATGTCCTGGGTGCTCATTGGAATACCGATACCAGGTAGCTCGACCCCTCTGTTCTTGCAGATCGCCAGCAGCGTCTCAAAGTTCATGGAACCATCTAAGTGGACGTGAAGCTCTGCTCGGATGGAAGCAGCGAGGAGTTGCTCACTGACCAGAAGCAAAGCGCTCAGAAGCCAGGGCGCCATCTGAACTTGACAGTTTTTCCTAAGCACAGCCACCTGTTCCTGCTGAGCAGAGAGATGACAGCATGAAGTGCGGCTAGTCGCGAAAAAGTCTTCCATCAACTGACTCCTGTCCCCGCGAAATCGCATTCCTTGCCTGGTATTTTGCAAACGACAAGTACCAGCCCAAGTAATCGACATGCCATCGGCGCACATCACCACCGTTCACGGACGATGCGTGGCACCAGGAGCCGCATAACACTCTGAAACTAGGCTCCACGTGCGGATTCCATCGAACCTTCGAATTCACGGAATCAATGCAATCATTGTATTCTGGCAACAGCCGGATCTACTTACTACCAGGCCTCAGACTCATCTGTACACTCAGAGTCGCTGCCGGGATTGCATCGCAGCTCAGCCGGCAGGCTTTCTGTCTTGGCCTGGGGAATGGCTAGAATGGGATTGCTGCTTATACCTGTACAAGTCGCAAGCTTAGGCCGAAACCGTAGATCGACTGCTACTGCCTGAACTGTGCACTCACATGCGGGTATTGTAAGTCTAGCCGTGAACTCGACGCTTATGGCCTCGCGGCTGCTGGCGAACAAGCTCGTGGTGGCGAACAAGCAATGCCGCAATCCCAGCCCGCAATTCTGCATCCTGCACTGTGAGCTTCTGCGAATGCTAATCTACACACACACACACATATATATATACATACATAGAGAGAGAGATAGATAGATGAATAGATAGATAGGTAGATAAATAGACGGCCACGCTGCGTCCTCATGCTCATCAAAACCAGGTTCGCCTTCGGCTCCAAGCGATGGAAGGTCGCTTGATCTGCTACACCCCACAAGAATCACATCCTGCCCTCAACGTCTTATCGGCTTGCTTTGCATTGACTCGTAGCTTCCAGCGGTGCAAGCCGATGAAGCAATATTATCAGACGAGCCTCCAGTTTGGGTGCCTTGACGATCTTGGCTGCCTGCCTATGAAGCATCCCGCACCAGCTATGTGCCGTTTCAACATTTGTGCAACATCATCATCTATGCTCTGCAAGATGGCCTTGCGCTTGCGCAACGACACCTTGATACTTCACATGTTGGGACAATCTGGTGCCAAGCATAGCATGCTGCATGCGAACCAGTTCCTGAGCCCCACACCTTGGGCAACATCGCGCGCACGGCCGCACGGAGCTCCCTGTCCTGTGAGCGGCAGATGATGTTGGCCTGGCAGGGGAGACATTCTTGCAAGAGCGTCACAGGAAGTCTTCCGGGGCACCATGTAGGAAGCAAGGGCAGCTGCATCAGCTTCCTGCCACTGGAAACGGCGTCCACTGCCAAAAGCAGCTCCTTTCCTGTGCTGTGGCCTCCTTGTTGCTTTGCTCCACAGAAGCTTCTGGCCTGATCCAGCGAACTTCGTGCTGACAGCTTGCCTCAAGGTGGAGTTTGATGCCTCTGAACCATGCCAGGCTCGACGTCAAAGTGGACCGGATCATCCAGCACTTCGCTGGCAAGCTGCCTGGCAGCAGTCACAATTAGAGAGCCTGTTCCGGTAAAAATCGCATGTCAACGACATGTCATGCCTCAAACCATCATTCCATTCATCCACCACCCACACTACCTGCGAGAGGTTGGCCGAACCGGAACCGTTTCTCTCCAGGCACCCGGAGGCCCTCGAAGAGCTGCCGAGCTGCTTGTGATGGCGGGGGAAGCCTTTGTAAGCTCTCCCGCAAGGCGTCGGCGTGACCGGCATCTTGGTCCTCAAGTGCGCAGCATAGCAAGGCTGCAAGGCTCATCGCGAAGGCTCATGGAAAGTTTTCTGGCAGGCTCCTTGGAGTGAAGTATCACGAGGAAGATGCTGTCGGAGTGGTCACCTAGCACCAACTGCAGAGCGCTCGGCTAAGCCTCAGCACTTTGCACAAGTGCATCATCACCTGCGAGGCCAGGATCATCCATGGCAGTTGACAGCCTGAGGCTGTGGAAAAGCTTGGGCAAATTGAAGTTCTGGCGAAAGAGCCGTCGTATGTAACCCTCGAGCCTCGCAGAACCCTTCATAATGCCCGTGTACTAAACCCGAACCCTCAACCACCCCAAAAGCCTCGGAAGCGATGTGCTCGAGCTCCCAAGGGCCTCGCAAACGAAGGCCCTTGGGGCAAACACGAGGAAAATCTCGGGCAAGTGCTGCCTGGCTCCAGTTGATGGCCTGCTTCCAGTGCTCGCTCTTGGCCTCTGCTGCCTTCAGACGCAAGCTCAATCAACAGTTGTCTTTGCATCCGCCAAAATCAGAGGGTCACTTACCGAGGGTCCTCGAACACCAGGTTCTTGTGCACGCTGCCTGGTTCCTTCCATCGAACCAGAGCAGGCCTCAAGCAGTGCCAGGCTACCAGACCAACACCAACGCGTTGTGAAGAATTTCAGCTCGACCGACAGAAAACAAACTTGCTTGAGCCTGTTGCTAAGGCTCTTCTGCATCGGTGTGCATCTGCTAACTTTGCTACGGCTGCCATCTCAAAGCTCGGTAGCTACATGTACTCAGGAGCTTCAGTACACCTCTCGGCTCTGGTGCCCATGTGCCGAGGGCAAGGCAACACGGCTGCTTCGGACCACCAAGCTTCCGGACAGCGGACCTTGGGCCGGGAAACGTGTTTGGCCCCTTTGCAACGTCGTCAGATATTCAGCTCAAGAGTCCGGCTGAGACATCTTGGCCCTTCAAGATGGCATCCCAGATGCTCTCAAAGATCGGGTCATCCTCTGCGAAAGAGACTTGGGCACTCAGCGCCATGCCCCCCCGCTTGGCAGATCTTGCCTTCACCGTAAGGTCCAGCTGCTCAAGAACCTTCGGGAACAACTTCTTGGATCTTTCGCTGTGCCTGCCCAGATAGCGAGCCTGTTGGCGCGAGGACATTGCGCGAGAAGGGTCCGAGATGGAGCTGCCGAGTTGAGCCCAAATGCCTTACCTCGAGACTGGGACGGGGTGAAGCAAGTCTCGCGCTGCCACCGTCCGCTTTCTGACTCTCTCAAACATGCTGGCAACTTTGCTGGTTTTTGCACAGTCCTGCACATGCGGGCATCTTGATTCTGCGCAGTGGCGGGTCTCTTCATGCAAGCTTGGCAGCAATTCGCAGCAGTTTCCACCTGCATGATAGAAACGTGTTGCCACGCGTGCTGAGTTACCAGGCAAGGCCTCAGGCAGCTGGCGGTGCAGCAGCGGTGCCGGCCTGCCAGAAGCGGGCTTCCGGACTCACAGTCGGACAGATGCGACGTCCAGTCCTTAGCTTGGGAGACTTCCTCGCGGACGATTTTCGCCCAGCTGGGCTCTTTCCATTGCACCTTGCCGGGAAAACTACAGCCTCCGAATCGTGCATCATGCAGGCAGCTCCTGGCCTGCAAATTCTTTCTGAAAATGGGCAGGCCCTGCGTGAGCATCGTCTCGCCCAGCTTCCCGAACTCGTTACTGCGGGGCAGCTGTGCAATTTGCATGCTTCCGAGTGGCTATGCGGTCGTGTCCTTACTCAGCCCCGTTGCTCTGCTCTGCCGCTTGCCCTCGTCTAGCCTCCCTTGTGTCCTCAAATGCTCTGTTTTCCCAGGCCTTGTTTAAGCACTGCCGCACTGCAACCCCTCAATGGCTCATGCGGCTAGCAAAGCCATGCCCGATTTTCTCGGCAATCCATCATCACGCCATCCAATTTCGCCGGAAGGTAGGAGTGTAGACCGTGAGCGTTCAGCGAAGGATGGGTTGAGTCATGGGCATAAAGTAAATCAACATGGGCACATCGCAGCTCGTGGCTAGTGGCCTGTACACTTTGAGCTCTCGGAGCTTTGGAGCTGCTCCACTCGACAAAGCTGCAACCAAAGCCTGCAGCTTTTGGAGAATCTCAGCGAGTCGCAGCGCAAGAATCATGGACTGTGCCGCATTGACTTGTCGCAGCGTTGCCTGTATGCCTGCATCTTTGATGTGGTTGTGTGACAAGTCAAGTTCCGTCACATCCTGCACGGATGATTGCTGTCTTCACTGCTGCCGCTGTTGCATTGCTGCATGTCCTCGTTGCCTTTCAGCTTCTCGATGACTTCAGCAAGATCCTCATCAGTTGCCTCCAGGTACTGCAGAGCCCCAGCCGAACAAACAACGTTAAACACATGGCACCTGGAGAAAGCTGAATCTCATGGACTGGACACCTGCCGCAGGTGGTCGTTTACTGTCTTCAGAATTTGTTGCCTTCCTCATCTTTGCCGTCGCCGTCATTATCTCCGAGATTGTCATCGTCATCGTCTCTTCGTATTCATCATACTCATCATAATCAGCAACAGCAGCATCACCATCACTACGTCGCCATGACCAGCATCACCATGACCATCATCACCATCATCATCATCATCATCACCATCAGCACCATCATCCTCGTCGCCAACACCATCTTCAGCATCACCATGAAGATCACCACCATCATGGTGTTTCGTCTGGAAATGATGACTCCGAAGAAAGATTGTTCGTTGTTGTAATCCGTAGACCTGGTGACGAGGGTCTCGTGGTTTCGCAAGCACGAAGAAGGAAAAAACACAGCAACGTTTAGGACCGCTTTCGAGCATGCATTGCCGGCATCGCTGTCCTTGAGAACCGACTTGACCGCGCGTGCATAACGTGAGTAGCAGGCTTTGCCGCTGAATTGCACTGCGGCGTCTCGTGACACATGCTGCTTTCGCCATGGCATGCCCTGCATTGCCCTGCCATCGCTTAGCATTTAAACTCTGCACACTGTGCAGACTGGACGCTGCCCCCGGCGAACATATTCGTTCCAACAGGCCTCACAGTTGTAATGTGCGCCCATGCACCCGTGGGCTTTAACTGGGCGAATGACGTCGCTACCTCTTGAATGGCATATTGTGCACATGCGATCCTCCTCCCCGGGAAGAACGTCTGTTACACACGACGCTGCCACAATGAGTTCGTCGAGCTGGTCGCAGAAATCATCGTCCGGAATGTTCTTCACGATCTCCACCATCTCCTCGATCTTCTGTATGGCTGACTTGGCCTCTTCGAGGTGAGACTTCTTTGTATAGTGGGTGTAGGTCATGTAACAGCCCCCGACAAGAAGTAGCCCCACCACGCTGCCGACCAAGCCCAAAAAAGCACCAGCCATGGCGTGATGTGCTACCGTCCATGCTGAAGCACACTTGAGGCAGCCCAAAGAATGAAACACCCAGAAGAAGCCACAACCGATGGTGGAGCAAGTGACAACGATGCCGGCCATCTTTTTGATGTTGCGTTGCACGACCTCTTGCAGTGTGAAGACTGCAGATGAAAACCATCCGGTCGGGATGCCCAACAGCTCTTTGCTCTTATCCTCATACAAGGACAGGAGACAAATCATCTTCACATAAGCCTGGTCTAGCTGCTTCAATTTGCGTTCTTCGTCCTCTCCGTTGGTCTCCGGGGTGACCTGCAAGTCATCATACAACTCATCGATTGCGGTATCTTTGAGCTTCATCATGCGTTTCAGGACCTTGTAACTCTGCACAAAGCCTTCAAGGAACTCAAACTGGCTCCTGATTGCTGCTTCGTCGGTCGTCGAATCTGTCGAGGACTTGAGCTGCTGCTGCAACCCTTTGATCTTTTTCTGAACATCTCTGACTTTGGCATCCGTTTCTTCAAGCTGTCTCTGGAACTCTGCCTTGGGGGTTGTCTGGTAGTCAGCGCGGTAATCGGCCATATCTCTACTGCTTGTCTACACGGCGGACCAGATCCTGCATGATCTTGCCTCGAGAGACAAAGCTGTCCACACGCATCAAGGATGAAACGAGTCAGCAAACTTTGTGCCAACAGCGAGAACCTACCTACAAGTGACCTGCCTGGTTGCTGGTTCTCGTAGGCTTTCATTCAGCACGTGGCACTCAGAGTTTGGTGTTGGGCTCGAAAGTCGAGAGTGTGACTGACTCCAGGAAGTCGGGGAGGGAACGACCAGACTTCAAAACCCTGGCAACCCGGCATGAGGGGGAGAGGCCCTGTGCGGGAGTTTTTGCGCAGTGAGGAGAGGGTGGATCGCAGAAGATCGCTGAGATTTCAATCTTAGGGCCGCAGCGATCTGAATGCGTTGTCAAGCTCAGCTGTGTGCACTAGCCATCCGAACTGCATGCAAAAAGCAAGGAGAACAACAAGGTGTCGAGTCAAATCGAGTCAAGCTTAACTTCGGATGCGTCGGCCTGGGGCGAGTGCATCATGCCAGCGCGCAGAGGCCCTCACCATGTCCTTGTGGATGTCCTGCTCCGAAAATGGGAAAACTAGGAGGAACGAGTGCGGCTGCCACGTGCTGTCCGACTTGTGGGCGGAAGTTTCCATGTCGTCCAGCGTGCATCCAGGCGAGTTGTACTGGCAGTCCTGCGCAAGAGACTCACGAACTGTTGCACAAGTCCAGGTAGCGAAACTGGACTTCGCTACCTGGGCTCACTGGGCTCTACTGCTGTAAAGGCTACATCACTGGTCCAATCAATCCGATCCCGGATGCAAGGCCCGGAAAAAAGCCGAAGCACATCTTTTTTAATGCGCTGACTGCGAAATCCTCTGCCGTCTTGACTTATCTCGCAAAAGTTCGGGCCTAGCCGGGTCATTGAGCTGTCTGGGCAAGCATTATAGACCATCTCACCATCATTCACCATCCCACGGACCCCCAGTCCGACTCCTACGGCTTCGCCTCACTTTCCTTTCCATCCCAGCTCGCGTCCGTCGAGCCTCGGAACCTTGAGTCAGACCTTCAAGGTGATTGCATGTACTAGCCCTGGCATCGTGCAGGCATGAAATATCATCGTACATGGCGCAGCACGAATGGCAATCGCCCGGTCCTTCGGCCACTCTTTTGTGTACCAGGGAGGTCTCTCTATGCCATTGTTCTCGGCGGCACCGCGGTTCATCCCGGCATTGAGGTCCTGAGCTGCCAAAGCTGCGTCAAAGTCTATCTAGCAAGAGGGTACTCTCCCAGAGCTAGCAGAACAAGCTGCCTGGTTGAGTTTGTGCTCGGTGTGCGCCTGCCAGGATCGCAGCGGCCGAGGCATGCCGTGTCGGCTCACTGGCATGGTCTGCACCTTGTGTGTGTTGGGGTCAACCTTCCCTTCTGCCGAGCCCTCTGGACCGTACAATGGCTTGTCCTTTGCCTCTGCAGGTGGGCGCGGGACACCGGTGCTCTCCGAAGAGCATTAAACCTTGCAGGATTCTCGAGCTTGGAGCCTTCTCGAGAAAGCCTCGGTTCAAAGTGGACGAGGTAGCTGAACTCGGATAGCCCGAGCTTGCCTGTCCAAAGAGAAGGTTGCAAATGACGATGCATGACAGCTCTGAAAAGGCTTTGGACCTGTGGCTCATCCACCTGCAAGTAGGCTGCATAGGCTAGAATCGATAGAATTCTCAAAAGAACAGCTCCGTGAAACACTTAGAAGAGAACAATCTCTTCCACCAGCACCATGTTTGAGCTCAGCTTGCACAAACGCCCGTAGCAAGCCCCTGATTTTTATTGAAGAGAGTTCAGGAACTCATGCATTTGCCTCATTAGTGCATACGGTATGGCCTTGCTGTGAATGCTGAGAAAGACTGCAATACCAAGCCGACTAGCACAAGCAGAGCTGGCCCGATTCAGAATGCAAGTCACTTGATAAATTGGTAAAACCTGCTGAGATTGGGTGTGCTCACCTCCTAGTCACTGGATGATTTGCAGTCTTGCATGGCTTTTTGGACATCTGTGCGAAGCAAGCCTGCAGATGGTCTGGCCAATTGCCGTTGTCAATTGCCCAGCAGCTGTACAATTCCGAGGCCGACGAAAGCGACATGCCCACCATGAGACTCTGAGCTGCAGTCGTTTTGTCTGCTTGAGCAACCTTTCTAGAGATCTCTCAGACCGACTCACGCTTGCACTGACAACAGCTCGATTAGGCAACGCACCGGGCTGCCGTAGACATGCCGCAGGCTTGTCTTTAGTCAATTCTGGTGCAACGCCTTATGGAAAATAACATCTGCCGAAGAGGGTTTGTACCCTTGGCAACGACTACGAAGGCGGACAGCCAGATTCTCCCTCGTTGTTGTTCTGCTTCGGAATCTTGCTTCAGGTAGTGCAAGCCTTCAGGCAGCACCTTTCTCCAGCTGTTAATTCAGCTGCGACGCGCAAACGAATTTGGCAGTACGCCAGAGGAGTATGCGAGAGAGCATGGTGTCTCAGGCATCGGCGGCAGGAAAGGGCTGAGGTCCTTCTCTGCCAAGCACTCAGCAGCGATCAGGGGACATCTGTGAACGATCCTGAAATCAGAGCTGAGATGCAAATGTCATATGTACAAGATACTGAATTCGCAACCTAGACTGTCCAAGCCGTTTGGGCTCTGACTCCCGTGCAGAGCCGTGCTTTCTCTACAAGGTGCCATGGGGCCGTGCAGGACCACCGACAGCTGTCGGTCACGTACTGAACATGACAAAAATTCCCGTGACCCATTCACGTGGCAGTCGAAAAACCCATGGCCGGCCTCGGGTTCGAAAGCCAATCTCCGAGATATTATACTCACTTCGTGATCTCTCTGTGCGTCAGGCTTCCAAGAGACGGCAGCAGCTGTGCGTTAAAAGGCGCTCGACATCACCTAAACTAGAAAAAAGAAGCCGTGGGCAACAGCTGCTGGAGCCGATTCTGTGCAACAGCTCCTGAGGGGCCCCGCTGCTGCAAAAGGCATCGACGCAGGTCTCTGATCCACCTTTCTTTTTCTCGATGAATTCAAGAAAAAACACGCAGAACGCGGCCTCGCCGTCTTCGTCTGGCCAACCGTCGAGCTGCACCTCAGGCCTTTGCGTCTTCGATCCCCCCGGAGGCCGCAATACCCTCAAGTACTTGCACCACGACCAAGGGTCGGACATGCTTGGCGAGCTCTGCGTTGATGCCTCGCACGGAACGGGAACTGGGGACAGAGCACCACCAAAGCCGCACAAAAACGCAAGGTCTGCAGTGAGTGAGTGCGCTGCTGTTGAAAAGGACTCGAAATGGCCCGTCTGACTCGGTTGTGGAGAACTGCCGCTGGACAACTTCATTGCTGGTACCTGTGTCTCTGGTCGAGACAGATCTCCATGCACAACAGGCACGTCCTAGACAGAGAGCACATTGGCACAGAACGCTTCAAAACCGCGGCACAGGCATCGTCATCGGGGAGGTAAGAGGAGCAGCAGCTTGAAGTACTCGCAAATGTGATCGCCTCTGGATGGCCCAAACGAGAGCGCCTTCCTGCATCCTCAGCATCTGAGACCCGTGCTGCTCTTCAAAAGTGACGCTGGCATCTTCAAGTCCAGAGCGAAGATATGAGCAAACCTGCTTGAACTCAGTTTCGCGACCGTGCCACCCGCCCCTTTCTGAAAGGAGACATGAGACTGCAATGAGTCTCAAGCCAAGTGCTGGGGCAGCTGCCGCGCTCTTGAGCTCTTCCATCCGGCTTTGATCGGGAAACTGTCAAGGCACGTGCTTGGGAACACCTTCTCGGACTACTTATTGCTTGCTTGCTCCCAAGCAACCTCCAGTTGAGCGATCTCGTTGGAAATGCTCTGCAGAGACTGCAGCTGCTGTTCGATGGAGGCCTGTTTCCACACATGTGCTTGCAGCGGTGTCCTGCCATTCCCGTCACGTACAGAGCAAACTCAAGCTTCAGACTATGAGCTTACACACAGAGGGGTTGGCAGTTCCAAGTGGGCGAGACGGCTTGGACAGATCTTTGTTGCAGCTCTGCAAAAGATCTAGGACCGTCCTGAAATACCTTAAGCCATGCTTGCTACTAATTCTAATTCAAACAGACATTGACCGTGTGATCCAATGGTGTCGGCTCCGGATACAGGGCACTGGAAGTAGTTGATGCTTCATCCAAACTGAGCACTACATGCCTCCAACTCCGGCAAGAGCATTCGCAGCTCCAGAGGGGGCGCTCTGTTGGAAAAGGTCGCGCTGAACTGCCGAAGCCTCATGCAGAGACTCACGCGACCCCCCCAGAGGCAGAACACTTGAGATCTCCGCCCGTTGTGCTGAGCTAGTCTGGATGCCAACCTCAAGCAGCGGTCCGCAAACTTAGAAACCCCCGAAACACGAGAAGCAGCACTTGAACAAGACGGATTGCCTTAAGCCTGAGACGATGAAATGTCTTGTGATGCCCGCTGATACAGCTCCGAAAGCCTCATGGGCTAGGACATCGATGCAACAAGCGGCCGGGAAACCTGAAATGGCGATGCCGGCAAGACCGATTATTTCTGGTTTCAGCCTTGACCATTCCAGCGTGGTGAAGTTCCAATAAAGGTCGCAGCCCATGCCGTGAAGCTTGGAGAAGCAGGGCTTTGGCCGTAGCTGGCAAACAAAGAGCACACACCGACTGTTCGGCTGCTCGCAAACGCCTCAAGACGGACCTCCCAGAGAAAGATACATGGTCTGCCTTTCAGGGTAAAGTGCTCGAGGTGCAGCAGCTTTTCGGAGATGGACATAGGGCCAAAGACTTCAAGATATACTAACCAGCACCGCGAAGAGGGACTTAGCAGTTGAACGTCCAGATGGGCCACGTGCCCCTGCTGGGACAGCATCATGAACATCGTCTGCCATCCTCCCGGAACCTCGAGCATCAGCCCAACCTCCACGTAGCGAAACATGCGGTCCTCCACATTCCAAATCCTCCTCTGTGCTGGCCCTCCGTCAAGCTGCTTGGTCTGTACCGCTCTAAATCGCTCAGGAGATTCACAGCGACTCCGGCTAGGTACCCCGCTTCTCACCCGGAGAGCTGGATGCTGACGTGTCCTCAGAAACCCCATCAGATCACCTGTGACCTAGAATCGAAGAGGTTCTGCAGGTCCTCGCCAGTAGGCACAGTAGGCAGAGCTCGTTTTTGCCGAGCCTGGCCGGGCTCCAAAAGCGTCTCTCAGGGGCCCCCCTCGATCCACGAGGCTTTTACCGAGGCCCTCATCTTCTCCAGGAGGCTCGTCTTCTCCTGATTCCGATCCCATCCCTCGGGTTTGGGAGGGAATCCGGGGGCAGCAGCTGAGGATGCTTCTCTCCGGACGCCCACGCCGTGCAGCTGAAAGATCAAGGCTGACCTGGAGACGACTTCTGAAGGGAGAGCCAAGCACAGAAACCAATGAAGCTCCTAGGTCCTTGCCCACCAAAGAGACGCGAGAACAGCCCCTGCCCTTTCCCACAAATTGCGGAGCGCCCGGATACCCGGGTAGCCAGTCTCCTCGCCCGGTCAATGATGCTTGGAGCAGGCACGCTGGGTCGCGAACCTTTCAACGTCGGAAAGGCGCTCTGCCTCCTGAATCAAGGATGGCCGTTTTCCATCGTACTCTTGAAAATCACCCAATCGATTGTCGGGGTAGTCGAAAACTTGAAGGCCCACAGCACCTGCCTTGGCCTGACTTGCCTGCCGACTACAGTGGGACAGAAGATGTCGGCCTGAGGCAACGCATTCACACCGATCTTGCAGCGCTCACCGCCGTGCTTACATCTGGCCTTTTCGAGTTTCACTGGTCATGCACTCCCACATAGCTAGCACAGGTGAGTCCCGGTCTGTGTGCGGGTGTGGGGCACAGCTACAGACTACCCATGCACGTGCTCCGACGTCTGCACTGCAGTATGCCTTAAAACTTGTGCGACTAAGGCTTTGCGACCGCTTCTGCATGGCATCTCTGGCTCCATTCTCAGCTTGGCTTGCACTCGCAGCTAACCGGATGCAAGGAGTGTTTGACGCGATGCCTGGCCTGCACGACACAAGGACGGAGCATTCAAAGCAATCCTACATGCATGCGAAATCAATCTTTTGTGGTATTCGCTAGCAGGCTGCAAGAGTCAAAAGCTCACAGCTACAGCTGCTTGGCCACAAACGGCTTGAGGGACCTAAGCTGCGGTGGTGGCATGTGGAAGTTCCAAGGCCATCAGCGAAGAGTCCAGTTTGTGCCGAGACACAGGTAGATGGCATCTGATCGCTTGTCCTTCAAAACCGAACTGGCACCCCATTGCATAAGACAGCTGAAGGTCTGCCTGTGCCAAGAGCTCTGGCTCGTCTGATCCGTCAAATTCGGACACCCTCTCCTCAGGTCCGACAGAAGACACTCAGCGCAACCCTGAAGCGGAATGAAGCAAAAAAAAAGCTGGGGCTTGGAGGCGCCTTCATCTTGGAGGCTAGGATGTTCTTTGTGCTGAGGCTGGCACCCCATAGTACTCCAGCAAGGGACGGGTTTCGCGATCATAATCCTCGTCACTATGTGCCGGGACTAAATAGACTACGGCACGAGACCAAGAAGCAGAAGTCCTGTAATCTGGCTCGAACGGCCTCCGGCTTGTCGTCGTCTCTTTGGACGAGCGGCTCACCGGTAACATCATCCTTGCCTGGCACCTGGATTGGCCAGAAATACATGGTGCCGTTTGTTGCTTTTTTGCCTTCGTACTGTAGCAACAAGATGTAGCGAGTCAGCGCCACGGGCCTTCGGGGGATTGTAGTCGTACGCATATGTGCGTCCAGACGATGGATGGATCCTTGTCAGCAATGCGCACGTACCCGGAACTTGCCCGGAACTGACTTCACCCAAAAAAGCCAGGAACATCTGCAAGGGGAAAATTGCACTAAGTACTACGACTGACCTGGGATTCCAAAGCTGGATGCACTGCTTTCCACAAGCTGCACTACTAGAAGACGGTGCTAAAGAGACGAAATCTTTTGGAGGCAACCAAACCTGCTCGCCATCGAGCCGTAAGGCCCATGCCAACGGCTCGTGATGCGCTTGACCTCGGCAGCAGTTGGCTTATGCCAATTGAAGTTTCAGGAGAGCCTTCCGGAGTAAGGGCATGGCTATCTCTTCTGTTGGCACTGCAAGGTTGAGAACAAGGTCCTGAGGTAATACCGGCGTCTTGTCTTCAAACGCTGGCGAAGAAACTGGGAGGCCAACCACCTTCTTGCGCTTCTCGAGAGCCTCTGCCTTTGCACCGCGTGCAAGGGTCTGCAAGGCAAAAAGGGCACTGCTGCAAAGCCAAAGCCTGGACTCGCGTCCGAGGAAATCCATCGAGAAGCACTCTCGCAGTTTGGATTTCGTCAACCTCGTCAATGCTGTGCTCTCAAGCCGGTATTGGATCACACCGCAGGTCTGGTTTTCGGCACGTCACAGCTGATAGTAGGGCGGGTCAGTCGTTCTGAAATTCCCTTACCCTTCACATCAACACCACGCCACGCAGTTCATGATCATGTCCACAATGACATCGTCAGGCACGAGTGCCCCGGAATCCATGTACTGCTTGGCCTTGGCTCGTGCTCACAGAGGTATGTTGCAAACAAGGAGACGCTCCAACTCTGCTTGGGGCCTTCAGGCCGCATGCCGTGCCCTGGCGGACCTCTGGTTGGAAAAACACAAGAGTTTGCAACTGCTATCTTCGCGAGTACAGATTCGATCCCTTAGTCGTCAATGAAGCCCAGTCATCTGCGCTTATGCGACAGCCCCGTGTTTCAACGACTTGCTGTAAGGCTCAAGCTCATCAAAATGTGTGCATGAGGATCATCATAGCTCACTAATTCAACTCCGGTAGTCGGATCGTTTGAATGCCGCGCCGCTTCAACATACACTTCGCCGTGGCAATAGTCTCTTTCTTTCTATCCGGTCGTGCACGGGCAGGGTGTCCAAAATGTTCAAAACCTCATACCTCTCTGTTTCCGCCAGGCTCGACTGTTGAGACGGGACCCATGATAGTAAATCACCACTTGGACACTAGAAATCTTCCTCATGTCGGGCGTGCGAGCTCAAAAGGCCTCGCTGCATCTCTCTCTTTCTCTCTTTCTCTCTTTCTCTCTTTCTCTCTCTCCCTCTCTCCTTCTTCCCTTTCCTTTTCTTTGTTCCGCACCACATGGATCGGGACGAACATCTCTTCGTGAACGCTTCGCTCCTTTGATTCCGCAGCTGTTAAAGAGGAGCGTTTTCTCA